GTACACAATTCATCAGTTCACACATGTGACTGTGTTGCAGTTCTGACACCTTTGTGATGCAGGCCAGAGAGGAGATGATAACATGAAAGCAGTGGAACATTTCATCTTTAGATCCAGGTCTGAACACACCATTTAAACCGTAATCGGGACATGAAAAGGAAACAAAATCACAATAAATCAGCGAAAAAAAAGGAAATGAACCAAAGCACGGAAGACAAAATAACCTTTCACAGCTGGACTCTGGTGCTTGCGTGGGAGCCGGTCCGGGAGGTCACACGTCTTTAACCGAAACTGTGAATCAAACAAACGTCGGGAATAAAAGTTAAAGTAGCAGCTGACACAGAAAGAAGCGTTTTATACGAGGATGATGAGAAACGTGCAAATTTACACGTGAAGCTCAGATCACTGGAGCAGAGATCGTGATCGCTGTTAATCGAACTCTCATTTCTCTCTGGCTGTGATCACACAGTTAGCTACTTTATGCCCATCTGAGAAAAACACAACACACATGTGGAGGAAGCCCTTGCTCTTATTTTGAAAGTTCGGCAGCTGCTTGTGGACCAGCTCGCTGTTGTTGTTGCTCAGCTGCATGAGCTCTGAATGTTCTGGACTGGTTTGGACCACAGCAGCTGGTTTTACTCCTTCTTGCAGGCAGCTGGAACCAGCTGGCTCTGCTGCTTCACATCTCATTTTACTTCCCTGCAGGACGTCCTGCTCAGGTCGCTATCTCGAGCTCTGCAAACTTCAATGGCACCGCCTCAGACCACAGCTGCTGTTACCTAATTCTTCTTCTGCTCAAACAAAACCTGCAGCAGCTGGAAAACCATCGCGCTCTCTGAGTCTGCAGAGGACGATGAGGACAGCAACAGGAGGATGGACGGGTTAACGAGCGTGAAGTTCAGGTCACAAGTGAGGTGCAGTTCATTTTGCAAGCACAAGCATGCATCGCCTGCACAGCTCAGTGTTTGAAGTATCTGCGCAGGAGTAAAACATGAATACTACTGCAGAGGGCGCGGGCGTGCGAGTCAAACATCTGACTCTCCAGCGAGACCCGAATGTGTGGATGAGCACACAAACTTTCAAAATAAGAGCAAGAGTCACCAGATACACCTGGAGAGGCCAGCTCATGTAAAGTCACCCTTCTCTATCTAATGTGCACAAATTCAAATGAGGTGGAGCTAAGAGGAAGTGATGCAACCCTTCGAGCACCACAAACCGCCGCTCCTTTGTGCGCAGTCAAGACAGCAGACACACATACCTCAACACCACCAAACCAACACTGACTGCCTCCACCCTGTTGCTGCAGCTCGCCACACACCTTGTACCTGCTCATTCTGCCTCAGCTCAGCTCAAACTCCACCTTAGCAAACAGGATACGCAGCTTGGGGAGGAGAGAATTCCACATTTTGTTTTTTAAATACACAACTTCTATAACTGAAAAGTTTAGAGACTTTTGTTAGACTGGGAAAAAAAAATCTCCTGCTGATCATCTGAGGGAAAAATGTGTGTATCTAATAAAATGGCCGCTAACGTTTAAACTCACCTCTACGAGGTTTCATTTCCATTTTCTGCGGCTGACTTTGGCTGGCTTTTAGATCTCGACCTGGACCCTCTCTTGGAGGAAGGGGTGCGGCTTCTGGACCTAGACCTGGATCTGGATCTGGACCGGGACCTAGACCTGGAAGGAGAGCGCGCCTTGGTCTTCTTGGTCCTGGGAGAGCGGGACTTGGACCTGGAGTAGGACCGGGACCTGGATCTGCTGTAGCGGGACCGGCTTCGTGAAGGCGTGCGGCTCCTGCTGCGGGATCTGCTCCGTCTCCTGCGTCTCGGGCTGGGGGAACAGCTGGATACATTCAGTGGGTTGAGTTACAGTCAAAGAAAAAACAGCTGGATCTGAACTGAGGAGAACATGAGCTGCAGGGCTGGAGCTAAAGTGAGCAGAGCTGACAGTCAGGAGCCATCTGGTTCTCCTGGTTAGCTCCGAGCCTCCAATCAGCTGGTCTGAAGAAAACTTCCGGTCTTTATTTTAATCAAATAACTCATAAATCTCTGGATAATTAAATGCAATCATTGATAGATGGTGGAGTCTTAATTACAGTGTTGTGGGGAAAGTAAATGATCCACATTCAGTCACGCTCGCTCTGCACACCAGAGATCCGGCCTCTCCTTACCTTCTGCTCCGCCGTCCGCTGTACCTCCGGCTCGGTCCTCCTCCTCGCCGTCCTCCGCCGTAATGGGAGTCGGGGGGTCTGCCGTACCGGGCCATCTGGACCCGCAGCTCCCGCCCGTCCAGCAGCGCGCCGTCCATGGCGTCCATCGCGTCTTCGGCGTCCCGTTTGTCGTGGAACCGAACAAACGCGAAGCCCCGGCTTTCCTTGGTGTAGCGGTCTCGCGGGATGTAGACGTCCCCTACCCGGCCGTACTTCTCAAACACCCGGCGGAGGGCTTCGGGAGAGGTCCGGTACGTTAGATTGTCCACTTTGAGGGAAGTCATGCCGTCGACGTCCGGCGGAGGCCTGCCGTAACTCATGCTGCCTGGCGCGAGAGGCCCGGGAAGCTCCCAGAACAGTCCGGAAAGTAACACAGATTGCGCCTGCGCGGCTCGAAACGCTACGCAGATTCAGAACGGAGCGATTTAAGCAGAATCTCGCGGATCTGGCTCAGTTTACTGCCGCCAAAAGCACAGAGCACGCCACAAATTTCTCCGAACCGCGCCGAGCCAGCAGCGACTAGAGCTTCTTCTTCCACGCGGAAAACAAACGGAGTGTAATCCGCTCCCGAGCGCCACGGTGCGGTGATTGCAGTCTTTACACTATACACGAGGAAACAAAAGAAGATGTTTTTATTGGGTCATTCTACGATGTTATGTTCTCTCTGATAACTTAATAACCCTTTTAGTGGAAAGTGACTTACTTTATTGACCATGTTGTGGATCAGTGCGCACATACACCACACTTGGTGTTCCTCTGTTTATAACCACTAACATTACCACTAACCACTTAACAATGAATTGCTATTGCTAAATACTGTCCCACTCATCACTCTGAAAATGACGCGTGTACCAAACATACATTTTTTATGTAGTGAATTATGTTGTTGAAAATTTGTTTTCAAGCTGTTGTCTAAAACACAAAATAATTCCTGAGAACCTCCAGAATGGCATTTTCTCTTATCTTCCAGAAAAGCAAAGTGCATAAAAAATAACAAAATAAGTCAAAGTTCACCTTTAATTGTGTTGATATCTCTCTTATAACTGTTTATCAACATCTTTTATATAACAGTAATCACAGGCTGTAAGTATCCCACAACATACATGCAGCCCTGTTACTGAAGTCCTGCGCTGACACCAGACGTAACCCAGAGACAGTCCTCTTTGATATATATTAGTTACAACATTTATATGTATATTTATTACTTTTGTAATAGTTTGAGCTAATATAATAAATTGTGTATTTGAGCAAAAATTTAAAAAATCAACCTTGAAATTAATGAATACAAAAGCCAGAGTAACTATTGAGAAGTTGGGCAAGGTGCATTTTGAAAGTGTCTGACTCTGATAACAATGTCATTAAAAACTGTTTCATTAAAAAAAAAAAAAAAACTTAGCTTTGATGGATATAAGTTTTTTTTTTTTAGTCATCTTGTGTGTGGAAGAAGGTCTGGTTTCTTCACTTATTTTCTCCTTTTGGCAATTTTCACATTCATAAATGTAAATTTCTAAACAGAAAACCTCACTTCCTCACCTTTATGATGGAATTCCACAACTTTAATTTAATAAGCCCTAATGAAATTATGTTTTAACACTATCAGACTTCTAATTAAAGACACAGTTAGAACTTCACTAAACTAAATATTAGTTCATTCATTCATGCTTGATACAAAAGCTTCTTCAGTTTTTGCTATTTTTCCTCTAGTTTTCTGCTCCCACTCACACACTTGTCTCTTTTGTGTTTAAGCTCTGATAAGTATGACTGTATAATCTATTTATTTTAAGTTAATGAGTTTGTACTTTGTTCTTTCTTCGAATAAAGATCTATATTAAAAAATTTAAACACCACCACCACCACCACCAAAACTTCGGAGGGGGGTTTGGCCCCCGGCGGAGGTTTCCTTTTTTTTGGAAAAGGCGTTGGTTGTGATGATGCCACACCTTCAACCGCCACAACCTACTGCTGGCTTCATGCCCCAAATCAAGATGGCGGATGTCGTAAACTGGACAATGTGATGTCCACGTTGCAAACATACAGTTTTTTCGTGCGTGCGTGCGCGCGCGTGTGTGTGAGAAAAATAATATAAGTATAAATATAAGTATTTTGCGAACATTTTATTCTACAGCTCCTCAGACGCCTAATCATTCTTCTGGGCGATCTCGAGAGCTCCCCCTACAGAACAGGAAATCCAGAGGGTTTAAATATAATAGATGTAATATTAAAAAAATTAAATCGGAAACGGAAACCAAGAGAAACGCCTTGCTCGCGGGTTGCGTGAGTTTCTTTCTGCGCATGTGCAAGTTTTTAGCCGTTTCCTTGTAGCAGCGCCTGTTAGCCTGTCAGCTGATTTCACTCACATGACTCTCGTTTTAGTTTCAGGTCAGTCCTGTTTATCGGTGCTGTGAAAGAGCTCCGGGGACCAGCTTTCCACGGCGGAAACATGGTGTTAAAGTTGGTTTAGGATCCGAACGGTGATAATAAATGGCTGCGGGGGTTCCCACGAAGAGCTGACCGACTGAGTGAGGAGAAAAGCGGGCAGGTTAGCTCAGCAGCGTCGGCAGATTTGGTGAGCTGATCACGGCTGACTTTCCGGGCACAACTGCTCTGTAAGCGTGACACTTAAAAAACTAGAAATAGTCTCTTGTCATTAGAAATAGTCTGGAGCATTTCCGCATTATGCATTTCTAGCAACGAGCAGCAG